CGAGATTAGTCTTTTCACAACATTCCAGAATTTTTTCTAAATGATTTAAACATATTTCGAATGAAATTTCAAATATAGAAAAATCATCCATAAAAACTTTAATCCCTTTTTCAATCAAATCACTGAAAATTGACATCATACATCTTTGAAATGTTGCAGGTGCATTACATAATCCAAAGAACATTCACTTAAAAACAAACGTTCCATAAGGACTAGTAAATGTTGTTTTCTCTTGATCTTCTGTAGCAATATGTATTTGGTGATAACCGGTATATTCATCTAGAAAACAAAAATATTTATGCCCAACCAATCTATCTAACATCTGGTCCAAAAAGGGTAAAGTGAAATGATCCTTCCTGGTGACAGAATTTAATTTTCTATAATCTATGCAGATTCTCAAATCATTGACTTGTCTTGTTAATATGAATTTGTTATGCTCATTTGTTACTACAGTCACACCTCCTTTCTTTGGAACACAGTGAATTGGACTTTCTCAAGTACTGTCTGAAATAAGATATATTATTCCAGCATCTAATTATTTTAAAATTTCTTTCTTCACAACTTCTTTAATCATAGGATTTAATTTCCTTTGAGGATCGGTTCTTGGTTTATGTTGATCTTCTAATAAAATTCTATACATATAAATTGAAGGATTGATTCCTTTAATTTCAGATAATGTCAATTCAAATGCTTTCTTATATTTTTTCAAAGTTTCCATAAACTGTTATTCTTGCGTATCAGTTAATTCTGAGGATACTATAACAGGTAATGTAGATAAATCTCCTAAGAATGCATACTTCAAATATGTAGGGAGTGTTTTCAATTCTAGTTCAGGAGCTTCTCAATAGATGAAATCGAATTCTTGTTATTTTTAGTAAGATCTAATATTTTAAATTTTTCCCGAACATTATCCAAATCCTCTTTACTCACTTCCATAGATTCATCATGAATTTTATCCTCATCTTGATATTCCATATATTCCTTTTCAAATTCACTTTCAAAAGTCTTTTTAAAATATTCATAGCTTAAATATTCGTTAATATCCATTCTGAAGCATTCAATCGCTTGTTCTTTTGCAGGGTATCTCATTGATTTTACAATATGAAACGTAACCTCTTGATCACTAACTCTCATAGTTAGTTCTCCTTTCTGCACATCTATCAAAGCTCTTCCAGTGGCTAGAAATTGTCTTCCTAAAATGATAGTAATTTCTTTATTTTCCTCTATATCTAATACGATAAAGTCCACAGGAAAAATAAATTTATCGACTTTTACGAAAACATCTTTTATAACTCATTCAGGATATATACTCGAACGATCATCTAACTGAAGAGTTACAGTTGTAGGTGAAATATCTCCTAAGCCCAACCTTCTGAAAATTGATAACTACATAACATTAATACTGACTCCTAAATCACATAAAGTTTTTTCATAAAATTTTCGTCAATAGCACAATGAATTGTAAAACATCCAGGATCTTTAAGTTTTTCAGGAAGCTTTTTTGGAATTACAGCGCTACACTCTTCACTGAGTGCAACAGTTTCATTATCTACAAACTTTCTTTTCTTATTAAGTATATTCTTCATGAACTTCACATAGCTTGAAATTTGTTCCAAAGCTTCAACAAATGATATGTTTATCGTTAATTTCCTCAAATTTTCCATAAATTTTGAAAATTGATTATCTCTATTTTTCTGCTTCAATTTTTGAGGAAATGAAGGTGTTGGTCTTTCTACAGTGATTTTCATTAGTTTAATAAGGCTTTCTGCTTTAAAATGAAATTCTTCACCAGATTTTTCATTTTCCACATCTATTTTTTCAACTTCAACTTTTTGTTGAACTCTGTTTTCTAATTCTTTTCCATTTTTTAGTTGAATAGCTTTAATTTGCTCTTTGTTCTGATCTTTAGGATTTACTTCAACATTACTAGGCAATGTTCCTGAAAGTCTATTGCTTAGTACGCTAGCAATACATCCCAATTGATTTTCCATGTTTCTAATTGTAGCTCCTTGGCTTTGTAATTGACTGTCTATTTGCAATATCAATTCTTCCATTGATAGTTTTTTCTTCTTACTCTGCAAATTATTAAGCAGAGTTGCTAATTGCCATCCTCATGGCGTCCCAGTTATTTGACAATGAAGTCAACAATATCAACGCACATATCTAATCATCAAAATTAATTTCAACAGTCGACAATTGATTTGTGATGGTATTGAAATCATTCAAATGTTGAGCGACAGCCACACTTTCTGTCACTTTAAGTTGAATAACTTTTAATCAAGTGTACCTTGTTATTCGTCGATGACTTTTCATACATATCTGATAAAACTGTCATGAAATATGTAGTAGTCCTTTTCTTGTTCATTGTGGGCAATATATCTCGACAGAGTTAATCGAATAAGCTCCAAAATCTGTCGATCAAACAGATTCCAATCAGCTTCATCTATCTTTACTGGCTGCTTTCTTAGTAACAGAAGATGAAGTTTTTTCCCATAGAGGTCCATCTTTACTGGCTGCTTTCTTAGTAACAGAAGATGGAGTTTTTTCCCATAGAAGTAGTCCTCTATCTGTATCTTCCAGTAACCGAAATATGGTTATCAAATTTCTGGATCCCCGATACTTTCACTTCATCTCCAACCATCATTTTTCCTAAAAGCTAAACCAAGACTCTTATACCAATTGTTGTGCAAAAAAATGACGACAATAAAGTGAAAATTGGAACAAGAAATTCACAAAACAGAAACATAGCGGAACACAGATTTACATGGTTTGACAAATTGCCTACGTCCACGGAGGAATTATACTGTCGATCATGTCTACTTACAAGAAAGAATTTTCTCTCTTCCTCTCTTTCTCTCTCTTCCTCTCTCTCCTCACCTTCTCTCTCTCTCTCTAACCGAGAGCTACATTAGAAGAAAAAACCCAAGTTAGGTGCAGCACGCCACCACCTAAATCCAATGGATGGTCGAGAGCCTTGCCTTCTTTGTAACTCTTCTGCCACAAGCCACCAAGGAACTAGAAGACGAGCGATTAAGGAAGGCTCATGCCCATTAATCGTTTACTGCTGCTGCTTTTAAGAACCATCCAAGATGCGGCCCATTTAGGAAGGGCACCAATTGATTCACGACATCCAAGAAGCAGGCGGGATTCCTCAAGCTTTTTCTAAAATAGGCGGGTTTAATTTGGAAGGTGTGCGAACCAGATAGAGAAAACAGTTAATTAATTAATAAACAATTAATTTGCTACCTTAATTAACAGTGGTCCAGGCTCCACTAATCTCAACACATTTCTCTTCAATCGGAGTGGTCGATTCTCCAACTTAATGTATCCAATGCATTTTTCCATAGCATTTTGAAGGACCAAGCCAATTTGCAAAAACCCCCGACTTTCAAGACAATCAACATCCTAATCGTGTCTTTCTGCTTCTCAAAACCATACATGGTCTCGAGAGGCAGAGGTTTCTCACCTTGTCCACCTATCTTATAAGACAGTTTTCAATCAAGCGCCGTCACTCTTCACCATCACCAAAGCTACTACCAATCTATTCCTACTTATTTATGTTGATGATATACCACTCACATGCAACAGTTCCCCTGCCATCTCCATTTCTGGCACCATTATTTCAAGAATCTTGTTCAGATCTCCAACTTTCTTGGCATTCAAATTCATAGCACACCAACAGGCTATTTTCTTGCCAAAACAGGGTCTCCTAAACAAGTTTGGCATGGCTGATTGCAAAGCCTGTCAACTCCCATGCCCTCACAATAGCTAATCACATCATCTTTACCTATATCCACAGATAATGTCACTCATTATCGTCAATCAATTGGATCTGTCCATTACCTCACCATTAGTAGACTAGACATCGCATTTGCTATAAAACAGCTATGTCAATTTATGCATAATCCCCAACCTCAGCATTTCATTCTTCTAAAAAGACTAATTTGCTACAAAGAAAGAACAACAAACTTTGGTCATTCAATAAGAAAATGTGACCTCACTCTTAACTCCTACTTGTACTCTTATTGGGTGTCCAATCAAATAGATCAAAAATCCACAATGCGTCGTTGCATGTTTTTGGGGTCAAAACTCAGTTTCTGGAAAGTAAAAAAAGCAACCTATGTTCGTCCAATCATTCATAGAAGCCAAGTATAGGGCTCTCTTCTCCGTAGCCACCGATATCATATGGCTTCATTGACTTCTCTCAGACTTTCACATAACGTTCTGCAATCCCACTGCACTTGATTATGATTGCACCTCTAACATGGCTCATCAACAACCTCGTCTTACACATTAGAGCTAAACACATTACAGTCGACTTTCATTTCATTTGAGAACGTATGCATTCAAAGGAAATCAATGTCCTACGCATCCTCGTATTGTCAATTGGCTGACTTCTTCACAAAAGCCTTGTCAGCTCATTGCGTCAAGCATCTAAGGAAAAAGCTTATGCTCCAATCTTTGGATCCTTAACTTTTGAGGGGAGGTGATAAGAGGCTCCTCACAACAACGTGCCTTTACCTCCTTCGTCACCTCTATGGACAATGCAAGGAACTCTCATGTGCCTACATCTGGACTGTTCAATTTCAACCACCTTCGCACCATTCTATCCTAACCAACCCTTCATCGACAAAGATACTATCTCTTATACTTAATACATTCAGTTGTATGAAACCTATATATAAAGTACACTTGTATTGCGGACGGTATGAAGAAAAGAAAATGAAATAAATATGCCTTCATTATATCGTTTCTGCTTTTCTTCAGTTTTAAGGTGAGCAAGTTAAATAAATTACCAACATTATCTTATTTTAATTTCTTCAGTTTTAAGGTGAGCAGATATTATGTTTTTGCAAGTTAAATAAATTACCAACATTATCTTATTTTATCAATTTAATTTGCAAAGCATATGAATAAGTTGAAGTGTGCTGTACAATCAAGCAAAAGGTGGTGCTTTTTGCTGTTTATTTTTTAAAAGACAGCAAGGCTAAATACTGCAGGTTGGAAAGAACTATCTTTCGTCAGACTGGAAACAAGAGCTTATTACTTTTTCTCAGTTTCTTGACCGGATACAGACTAATAACAGCTCTGCTAACCTCACATATCTTGCTCAACATCCCTTATTTGATCAGGTACCCCAAGTTCTTTGTTGTAATTTTATGTTATTCTACCATGTAAATAATTATTTCCCTTTGTCTAAACAATATATTTGTCAGATACAAGAACTACGGAATGATATAATGATCCCAGACTACTGCTATGCTGGTGGTGGGGAACTTCAATCACTTAATGCTTGGTTTGGTCCGACTGGAACAGTGACACCTTTGCATCATGATCCACATCATAATATCCTTGCTCAGGTAAAGAACACAACAACAACTACTTCCACTACAAGCCTTTGTCCCACTAAGTGGGGCTACATGAATCCTTTCTCTCCATTTTGCTCTATTGAGTGTCATATTTTCATTTAAATACAATATTCCCAAGTCATTTTAGGTATTCATTTGCCTTTCTTAACATAAGTTGAATCTAAAAAATTTAGATGGTCGACGTTTAATGTGACTAAACCATCTAGATGGTCGACGTTTAATATGACTAAACCATCTACGATGACTTACTCTAATCTTTTCTGCCTTTAAAGCTACACCAACCTTTTCACGGATACATTCGTTTTACATTTTGTCTCTAAGAATCAAGCCACTTATCCTATTAAGTATTCTCTTCTCAGCAACACTTAAAGGGCAACATTTTGAGCCATAAAGCAATGCAAGCCTTACCACCATCTTATAAACTTTAAGTTTAAGCGGTACTTCTCTATCACACAGTTGGCCTAATGCATTCCTCTACGTCAACCATCCAACTTGAATTCTATTAATAACATCCCCATCTATATCACAATCACTTTGCACTTTGAATATCACTATCACTTTGAACAATAGACCCGAGATATCTAAGATGTTCACACTTTTTAATGTCTTGATCACTTATAATTACAATTTTGCCACTAGATCAACTAATACTAATATTACATTCCATGAATTTATTTTTAGATCTAATCAAATGAATGCCTTTAGACCCAATGTAGACCTCCAAAATTCAAGTTTTTTCTAAAATCTTTCTCCAGTCTTATCCACTAGAAGACTATCATCAACAAAAAACATGCACCATAGTACATCGTCCTGTAAATATTAAGTATGAGTATCCATAACTAAAGCAAAAAGATATGGGTTTAAAGCTGATGCTTGATGTTATCCAATTAAAATAGGAAAATACTTGGTCAATCCTATTTTTGTTTGAACACAAGCAACAACTCTAATATACTTATCTTTAATGACTTTAATATAACTCATATCAACACCTTTTCTAAAACTCTTCAAGAATCTTATTGTAAAGCCTTAACTAAATCAATAAAAATCATATGTAGATCCTCCTTACTCTCTGTACTTCTCCATCAAACCTCTCAAAAAATTTATAGCTTCCATGGTAGACTTCGCCGACATAAATCCAAACTTATTTTGAGAAATTTTTGTATCATGTCTTAGCCTAAGATGTTCAATTGCTCTCTCATTATTTTAATATACGCACATTATCATGATTCGTCTATAATTTTCATACTTGTGAATCTTCTTTATTCTTAAAAATGGGGATCAAAATACTTTCTACACTCATGCATCTTTTTAGTTTTTAGGATAATATTAAAGACTTTAGTAAGCCAATAAACTCTCAATTCTCTTACATATTTTTACACTGCAACTGAAATATCATCTGATTCTACTGATTTTTCACCCCTGGTTTTCTTTAAAGCCTCCTCAACTTTTTGTTTTTTACTAATGCGACGATATAAGTTATTAAGTTTTATTATTATTAATGATATTAAGATCACTCAAGTCGATCGTATTTTTAGAAATATCACGAAAAATTTATCATAATATTTTACTCATCTATGTTGAATATCTTTCTCTGAGAAAAACACTTTTTTATTTTCTCTTTAATAAACTTTACTTGAATTAAATTTTTAATTTTTTTTCTCTTTATTTAGTTTATATATATATATATATATATATATATTGGAAAAACAAAAAATTTATTAATCAAACATAAGAAAGTACATTTCTAAGATAAGGTGCCTCAAGATGGTCACTCTTCAACAAAAAGGAAAGAGGATTGGGGGAG